AAAGTTTTTATATACGAATGAAAGCAGCCACGGCATAAGCATGCTTACTGGCATCACAGAAAATATGTACTGAAGTATTTTCACTCGTACTCCTTGAACCAAAATATCTTGGAAAATGGATCTTTTCCAGATAGTCAATATCTTTCAACCATTTTAAAAATGTAGTTCTCGTACAGGTATCAACTTCTTCATCCCATGTTATCTTCTGCTTCCAAGTTTCTTGAAGTAATAACTTAGGGATAAGGATAACAGGACAACATATACCAAGAGGATCAAACAATCTATGAGCTGTAGATAAGATTAAGCGCTTAGTCACTTTTTCAAAACATAACTCTTTTATACTACCAGTATTTATTCTTAGAGTGTCAGATTTTTTATTCCATATTAAACCGAGCACATTTGTATCAGCAGAAGCATCAGCATTAATATCATTGAACTTGAACTCCCACCCTCTAAGCTCAAATTTTCTCTCAGCCATTACCTCAGTTGATACACTAATAAAATGATTGAGTTCTTCTTCATTTTTAACACAACTGACACAATTGTCAACATAAAAACTATGCATAAGTTTTTGAATGACACCTTTCGTATATAAGGATTCACCGGTTTCTATTTTCTCTAAAACAGTTTGTAGGTGAAGCTGAATAGTAGAGTTTAGAAGAAAAGGGCTACTTGCTACACCAAAAACTACACGGCAGTGCCTGTACACTTTCAGTTGACCATCACTATCAAGCCATAAGAACCGCAAAAAGTCTCTATCAGTAGGTGAAACACTTATTTGAAGAAAGGCTCTTCGTATATCAGCAATAACACCAATCTTTTCTTTTCGAAAGCGTGTTAAAATACTCGGAAGCTGTTCTATTAGATTTGGGCCTTTTTCTAAGCAGTCATTAAGACTAGGAAATCCTTTACTTTACTTTGGCCGAAGCATCAAATACCGGTCGGAGTTTTGTAGTGCTATTCTTTTTGATAACTTCTCGATGAGGAAGGTAAAGAACTTGCCCTTGATAATTTTTATCAGCCTCTTCAATTACTCCCTCTTCTAGCCATTCCTTGAAAACATCTCCATAAGCTTCATAATTGGACTCGATTTTAAGACGTTTAACAGTTTTGTTCAGTCTTCTCTCGGCTAAGTCAAAATAGTCTGTTAGTGGTGGATGATATTCCAACCAGGGCAAATCAACCTCGAAACGATCATCGACTATACGAACTGTATTTAGAAAATGTAACCGAGCAGCTTCTTGTAGTTCAGTCTGGTTTTTCTTGACTGATGGGTCAGTGATCCCAAGTGTGTCCAAAGTCCATAGATCTGTTATGGTCTCCACAGTAGATAACAAGGATGTAACTAAGAACGATGATGAAAACTCACTTTTCGAAGTATTCGGCATTCGTCCCATAACTGACCATCCAAATTTGGTCTCAATAGCTACGAGACCACAAGGCAACTCACGACGACCACCTGTCATGAGTTTTCCAGCTACATCAGCCCCAATAAGAATCTCAATAGGATTTTGACAATCATCCACAATATTTATATTACAGGCTGCTAACTCTTTCAGACAAAGCTTGTTGACAGTAGGTGGCACTGACTTACAAATAATTTGTTGACTAAGAACTTTAAAGTTGCAATTATAATTCCCATGCACACACTCGATAAATATAAAGTGTATACATCATGCTTGCATATCCCTGAGTCCTTCCCTCCAAATAAAGAGTGTTGTAAATATTCACAACTCTGAGGTTCATAGTTCATTTCTTTAGCTGTACTTCTTAATAAATATGATCGCTGTGAAGCAGTATCGATAATAGCTCTTGCGACGCGTTTTTTTCCCATTACTTCTACTTCTAATTATAACTTTGAATGTTTGAAGCATTACGTCCGGAGTAGAAGATAAATTTGGAAAGAGCTTGATCCACTACAGCACTAATCTCAGTTTTCTTTTCAACTTCAGGTGATTCTTCGTTTTTTGACATAGTTATTTGGTGCATCTTTCTACACAGAAGAATATGGTGTTTTTTACCACAACACAAGCAACCAGCTTTCAAGTTACAATCCTTGACTGAATGTCCAGATTTCAAACAAAAAACACTTGTGAGATTGTTGAACCAGTGACTCCCTCTGCCTTAAAGGTATTTTTTTTTACTTTTAGACAGTCTCCAGAAAAATGTGAATTAGAACAGAATATGCACTGTTTTGATACTTGAGATGAAGTTAGAAGGTCTGTTGCACTAGGTATATTTTTGAAAAACTTTCTTCTTACTTTTCTCTTTATTAAAATTCTAAAAGCTTCTTCATTAAAGCTTTCAAAGTTCAAGAATTCTGATCTTTTTTTTTCGATTGCTTGAAGATAAATAACGAAAACTTATCGTGAAAAATCGATATTAATGTCCTCATCAATTTTTTCGAAACTGACCCCAAAAGTATAGCCAATTTCGTACACTACCGTCAAAAGTAGGTAATTTTATTTTTGGGTAACGTAATAAAGTGTTCGGCTGCGCGAAACAATGTTCAAATTTTCATTTTTAGAAGATAATTGTTCACTCACTAGTGTTTCTAGCTTCTGTTTTAAAGATCTCCATCGATCAATATACATTTCTGACTCATCTACCCTACCGCTTTCTCTATTTCGGTATCGGAAGTATTTTCAGAATACAACAAATGTTTATATTTCTCTTCACGTGCAATCATTAATAAAGCTTTCTCTTCAATTAGCTTTAATTTATTAATTTTATCAGCACAATTTAATTTGATTTCTTCCTCATCAAAAGTATTACATGCTCGAGTAAACAACCTCCTAAGTTGCTTTCTATCTTTCAAAACAATACCCATAATGCACAAAGAATAAAAGAAAATATAAAATATTTTTTTCACTCACTCTTAAAAATGCAGCCGTAGTCCTGTCTCTTGGACGCCAGATATCCCGTTTTACCTTCGATATCAGAAGAATTATGATGGAAAATGAGTATACAATCAATTATCCAATGAAAGACATCTCGTCACAACACAAACAGTTTAATATTACGATTCTATTTACAAGTCTAATTAAGTGTTAGTTTTAGCTTTGACACCTCAAAGCAATACTCAGAACATAAATGGCATAAAATATTACTCATCAGTTTTTAAATACTCATGAAAAACATCTCAAAAAGTCATTTTTCTCATTACTTAAAACGAAAAGTAAACAATAGAACAAACTCGAAAACGTAGATGTAAAAACTCAACTGTTGCCAATCGCGATTTACTAAATTACATCAAAATAAAGATATAATAGTAGAGTTTAACTTACATTTATTTTTTTTTTTATTAAATTAATACGTACTGAACCGGCTTAACCGTATACGAACTTGGAACAGCATAAAGGGAGCATTTCGTAAGTTTCACATATTTTTGCTTTATTTATATATCCAAAATTTATTTTGTCAATTTTATAAGCGTTTTGCTTCATGTTGATGTCGATGTTATCAATTTGCGCCGAAAATGGCGCAATAATCCAATCAGGGATGTCGATGTTTTCCAAATCAACAAAGCGCAGTTTAAAATCGTCGCTTAATTTTTGAAGATGATTTGTATATATTTCCAAGTCTTCTTTTATTTTTAACGGCAGTGTCGTTGCTCGCCAAAGGCTCCTAATTGGTTGATGGGTTCGCCAGCAAGAGGCACGGATAAGCCTCAATCGCTCTTTTGGCTACATATTATGAGTCGTGCAAATTACAAACTGGACGGTTATTCTACGCTACGAGAGTCGACAGCAAGTAGTGGGCCGCCAGATGTCGCTGCTAGTGAAACAGGTCGCCCGACATCCTATATTCCTCTGAGTACGGAAGTGTAGAAAGCGCGCAAAAAGTGTTGCCGCGTCGTCAATCAGGGTTGTGCAGTTGACGTACTAAGTACAACGGCTTTGCATATGTTTTCGCCGCTGATTTTTTTTCAATTAAACGAAGAATACGGTTCGTAGATCTCTGAAATCGGTGGCGAATTTATAGTAAATATGTTGAGCTTTTGCTCTGGCCAGATGATGTTATCATTGCGTATTTCAATTGGCAAAATTTACAGTTATTTTTTATTTGCGATGAACGATAGAGTACTTGGAGCCACATTTCAGAAAACAAAAACGCAGTTTCTACTGAAAGAAAGGTTTATTTTACTATTCCTTTCCTGAAATTACAGACATAAATTGTAATTATATGCTTTAAAAATGTAGAAGATAATAAGCTTATTAAGCACATATAGACATCCGATAAGCTTCTACTCGTTTATGTACAGCAGAATTACGTTTATTTTAAAATCTGACAGTTGAATACCTTACGAACAATACTGTACACAAAAAGGAATTCGTTCATTATTACGCGAAATTCACACTACTCTAAAATAAAATTTAAAAAAAGCTTTATATATTTTTTCAGTAGTAGTACTACTACTGTGTGATACTTTTAAAAATAAGTTTTAGCTCAGAGGGCTATTAACTTCGTTTTGTTGCCATTTTGTAGCGTTTCACTTTTCAATCGTTGCCACTAAATACATCGCACCGTATTATATTTAAAGAAATTAAATAATGAGAAATCTGCATAATGTATGAATGTTTTTCTCGCACTGTGATAAAACAACGGTACCTAGAGCCATGAAATTTTGAATAACGTAATCCTCCATCCTAATATAGGCATCTTGGAGGCCAAATTTGGAAATGGGATTTTTTTTATTATCGATTTCCTATTTTGTAAAGCATTATGAGTGTTTTGATTAAGAAACTGAATGATTTCAAAGCGAGCAATGGCAACGTTGTACGAAAAAAAAAAGAGGAAAAAACATTTTCATCTCTAGCGCGCGAAACTCTATATTGGAAATTCTAAAGATATGCTCTTTTTAAATTATATGCGATTTTGCTGTTGATTGAATTTTATGGTTTAAATGCGAGAACATGAGATTTAATAAATAAAGGTAGCACGCAAAAATTAAAAATACCGGCCTTTTGTGAGTAATATAAAATCTGAAAGATTTCAGATTTTTTTTTTTTTTTTTTTTTGTGCGTGTGTAATTTTATTACGCTTTAAATTTGGTTTCTAAGGAAGGACTTTCTGAGGGAAACTGGCTTGTATACACATTACATATGGGGAAAGCCACGAAAATGCCGATGCGGCCAGCTCGTTCGTGGGATTCGAACCTCGGTCCAAACTACCTGCGTTCAGCGACTCTACCTCTCGGCCACTGGTGGGCTTATTAGCAGAATTATACTGTATTATTATTATATTATGCTATAAAGTAACAATGCTATAAGACTGAGACGTACCTTTAGAATTTCCGATGCATAGTTTCGCGCGGCCGCTAGAGACGAAAATGTTTTTTTTTTCTTTTTTTGTTCATGGATAGTACTTTTGTAATCATTAGTATTAAAAAATCATGTTTCTTTGCAAATTAAAAAAAATATAACTCTTCATAGCAGAGTTCTCATTTTTATATTGTAAAAGAGATATTGATATTATTAGTTTTCTATTTAATGTGTCGAAACGCTGGTTTGACAAGGACTTCAACTGCAGAAAAATATTTAAAGAAACAGTGTGAATCTGGAAAAAACCACCTTTCAGTATATTTAAAAAACACTGATAAATTTATAAAATAATCTGAATTAATATAAAAGATTATCTTATATGAAATTATCTAAGTGCATTTAGTTACAATATTATTAACGCGAATTACGTAATTAATGGATTATTTATTTTGAGGGAAAAAAAAAAAAAAAAAAAAAGAGCACTAAAATCGAGTTAAATATCGCGAAAAGTCAAAGAAACGTTTTGTCAAGAGATTCATCTTAACCCGTATTTCCAGAATAAAATCTTTTGAGAAGGAATATTTAAATAAGCAGTTTTTATATATAAGAATTAACTAACAGCAATGTATGTTGGAAAAAAAGTATGAGTCATTGTGTGACAAAAATTACAATACGAAATTAATCACACATACAGGATATTTTAGTATAATTTTGGTATAATTTTATATTGAAAAAAATATTTTCTTTCATGTTAATCACAATAAATTAATTATTTAAAAAAATTTTGTGCGGTGGTGTAGCTGATGCATCAGCAATCGGCTGAATAGCGAATGAATTTTAGAGAATAATTTTCATAGAAAAGAAAATTAAAAAAAAAAGAAAAGAAAATTTCTTTCTAATTTCTTCTAAAGAAATATTTTTTCTAATTAACTGTAAAAATAAGCGTGAAAACTTAAATGTAAGCTTTAAAAAAAAAAAAAAAAACCTAGTTTGCAATTAGATAATGCAAGTTAATCATATTTAAATTATTCATTAATAAATTTAAATGAATAAATTGTATTTCTTAAAAGATTTTAAGTAAGCTTAATCATTTACTCTTATTATTCCGTTCTTTCATGGTATCCCATACTCTATATTTTAGTCCTAAATTCCTGCGTTAAACTTTCCCTTAAAACCGGATCCTTAAAAACGGATAACATAACAGCATATTCTGCTGCGTTTTGATCATAATACTGTTTGTACATTTTTCAAACTACAATGCACGTGTGAGTTCATAAGGAGAATATTCTTAGAACTTCAGCCAGCGCGCGCTATAATTTCGTCACTCGTCTGTACTGCGATGGTCTAAAGCTCCTTGAAGCCTTCCCCCCTTTCAGTAAAGTCAAATGGACTCACCGCCCACCAACTGAGGACCACAGAATCACCGTGGCATGGTTTCCGATTTTTTTCGGTTATCGTTCGCTCAGTTGTGTAGACAGATCCAGTGATCATAGAATAGGTGTCCTGGTCACAAGGTCAAGTTGTGACGTCACGGTACATACGAAAAACCATAAGGAAAAGGGGAAATGTTTCTGATTTATTATTTTATTTTCTATAAAGAATAATAATATTAAGTCATTATAAAATATTTTAAATTTTACGTACGCAGTTAGATATGTGTGATTTGCTTATTAGAACTGTTTTTTCCTTCGAGTCCAATAGACCCCCATTCGACCCCTTGGGTCAGATAAACCCCCTACTCTTGTTAAATAGACCCCTAGGGGTCTATATAGACCACTTTGGCGACCCCTGCTCTATAGAATGCCTGGCGTTTTGGGGCAAGTACGAAATATCCAAATTATTTTAATATTACATGTGCTACCTAGAAGCATCAAAAGAGAGTTATGAAAAAGCTAGCGATTCAGCAGGCCGTGGTTCCTACCTAGCAATCATCTTCGCCTTTTCCTTACCGACTTCTGGCACTTAATTTCACTTAGAAAACAATGTTTTTGCAGCATTGGCTAGCATTTTAGACAGTTTATATTAGAATCGTCGCTGCATGTCAGCATACCACGATTCATTTTCGGATACTTCAACATGATATTTCATTTTCGTACAGCACAGTATGGGCTATAGTCTTTGCTGAATAAAATAGCGATTTGCCATCATTTCCGAAAAAAAGCCTGTAATGCAAATGGGAAATTCTGTGTCTGGAATATCATTTACAGGAGTATTTCCAGTTAAAATTCAAACTATGTGGTTTTCTTTTTTTTTAGTCCAAAGGGACAATTTGCCCAGGACGACTTTAATTTCGTTTTGGCATTTTGCGTCGATTCACTTTTTAAATTGTTCACACAAAATATTACAGCCCTGTATTATATTTAAAGAAATTATATAATGAAGAATCTGCATAAATGTATATATGTTTTCTCGCATTCTGGTAAAACAACGGTACCTAGAGCCATCAAATTTTGAATAACGTATGTTTCCACCCGAATATGTTCGTCTGTAAGCCCATATTTGGAATTTGTTTTATTATCTATTTCATATTTTGTAAAACTTTTAACGAATTTTTGATTAACAAACGAACGAGAAATGGCAACACTGTACGGGGAAAAAAATTATCTCCAGCGCGCGAGACTGTGAGCCGGAAATTCTAAAATTCTCATTTTAAAATTATTTTGCGATATTGCTCTTGAATTGAATTTTATGCTTTAAGTGCGAAAAACATGATATTTAATAAATAAATGCAACACAGAAAACGACGGGGGAGGGAGGGAAAATAAAAAAAACCTCGCCCTTTTGGACGTAATGTCAAATCTGAAAGCTTTCGGATCTCTCTTATTTGTGTGTATTATGTGTGTGTTTGTTCTGGTTTTTGACAATACTTACTCAGAAAAGTTTTAAGCCTAATATTTTATTATTAAATTTATACGTATAATATTGACTTCACGCAACATAAATGACATAAACTGAGTGTTTGCATAACATATTTTAATGAAATAGTAGAAAAATATACATGATTATTCATAACATTCCTTGCATAAAATAAAATGCAGGTCTATTCAAACAACTGTGTTTTTTATACATTATGGAAAATGTGCATAACATGAAAGTCGTGTTTTAAAATTTGAGCAAAAGTTATTTGTTTATGAATAAAATTCATCTTTGAGTATTATAGTGAAAAAATAAATAGATTTCAAAGTCATCTGTAATATTCATACTTCGGAAAAGCTTGGGAAGTCAAGACTGCTCTCATTAAACGCAACTCCAAAGTATATCCATGCCCCTTTAGGTGGATCATCAAAATGTACAGAATGTTATTTAGGCAAGAAATACAGGGTGTCTCATAAATTGCGCAGGTTTTAAAAATTCAATAAATTAGTCAAAGCGGCGTAAAAAAAGATTATAGTGAAAAAATAAATAGATTTCAAAGTCATCTGTAATATTCATACTTCGGAAAACTTGGGAAGTCAAGACTGCTCTCATTAAACGCAACTCCAAAGTATATCCATGCCCCGTTAGGTGGATCATCAAATGTACAGAATGTTATTTAGGCAAGAAATACAGGGTGTCTCATAAATTGCGCAGGTTTTAAAAATTCAATAAATCAGTCAAAGCGGCGTAAAAAAAGATCAAAATTTGTGTTTCTTCCTATGTATACACTCCGATTTAATACTGGAAAACGATATCTAACATACGTCTACCTCTTCTTTTTTGGCTGGCGATTAGTTAGTTATTCTGCCGGGAAAGTTCCGACGACGGTTTCACAAACTTCTTTGTTGATTTCGCCAATGGTCAGTTGAATTTATCTCTTGATTTCCAGAAATGTCTGGAACTTTTCCAGGTCTTCCCTTAACATCTTAACGTAATCACATAAAAAAAAAAAAAAAAAATTCAAGATATGAAGTCACAAGACCTTGCAAGCCATTTCTGGGCATTGCCACAAAGTCAGATCATGAACTCGGGAAACTTTCATGAAACAATGTTGTAGATTCATGGCACTCATTTGATCCACAGAAGGCATAAGAAAGCGAGAAATTTACGAATCGTACATTCTGTTTTTATAATGAGTTTTCACAGTTACGACGCGTTGCTCCTTAGCGAACCACTTCATGGCATTTAAAACTTAAAAACAACATACGCTCAATTATTCGGAGTGATAGTAGGTAATGAAACTAGTACAAAAAGTGCTGACAGTAATAATAATAATAATAATAATAATAATAATAATAAATAATTATTATAATAATAAACTTGCTGTGCAATCCAAAACCTGCGCCTTTTATAAGACAGCCCATTTACTCTACATGTTAAACAAAATTATCTTCAAAACAAAATGTAAACAGAAAAGAGGCGATAAAAGTTGCTAGTCGACCAGCCATCCCGTCTGGAGGGTCCTTTTAATGTTGTGCTGACATTGGGCATCCAGCCAGAAGGGCGGGAGGAGGCGACATTCGCGTTCGAGGTGCGACTTCAGTTTGTCCCAGAGGTGACAGCGGACCATCGACTTCAGGGTTTCCATTACCTATGCGAGAAAAGAAACAAAAAAATATATATATTTTTCTTTCGATTTACGAGGTCGAACTACAATGATACTCGAGCTAATCTTTTTTTTCTTATCGACTAATGCAAGAGCCGACGACGAGGAACCATACATCGTGTATGGTAATGGGGTTCGTAATTTTAATTGTTCAATTTCATACAAAAATTAAGCTACTTCCATGCCATTCATTTTAGCAAAGTTATAAACCAAAAATTAATTACTTTCATTAATATTCTTGAAAAATCACTAATTTAAGTTATTTCTTCTTTTTGATATTCATTGGTTTTCATTATTTTGTATTTATGTTTCACTTAATCACACGTGAAAGGCATTTAAACCAGTAAGAAAGAGAAATATATATTTTATTAAAAGGGTTACACGCTTCGTTAGAATACTCTAAGACTGAATTAAAATATCTGATGTGAACATCATGACTTCCTTATACGGCTTATTGAATTATGAACATTTTTTGCTGGACTTAATTTAAATTTATTTCACGAATTATTCTAACTGAATTAACCGATCCTTCAGAGCAGGTTGAAAATGACATCAAAAATAGCAAATTTTGAAATTAAACATCCCGGTCCATGTTTGTCATACAGGAGTCAAATCTTCTTGCAATTTTTCTTTTCCATAATAAGTATAAAACTTTCCCAAATATAAGTACAGGAACCGGAACATCGCATTAAAAATAAGATTTCGCTATTTGTCCAAAATTATTATGTTTTTTAAATTTCACACTGTAAAAACATGGATAATTCCATGATTTAAAAAACTTCTATAATTTGAAGTACATATGACTACAACCAAGAATTGAGAAAATAAAGGCCGTATAAGAGAGGGTTACCAACAGCAATAAAAAGTTGTGTTACACAACTTGTTATAGCAGTCCTGTGTACAAAATTTCAATGTTCTTTGGCTAATTGTTTTTGAGTTATGAGAGACACGTACGTACAGATGCCAATCTCTCCGTACGAACAGACGTCACGGAAGAAAGGGGGGAAGTCAGCCAAAACAGATTTGGTAACAGTCAAAATGGATATTTCCACTGAAATCTGATAATAGAGATTTTTTGCGATTACAGTTTTTTTCTTATTTTGTACGAGGAAGTAAAAAGTAAAACAACTATAATTTTTTGCTATTAATACCACTTCTGTTTTTCATTTCATGCAAGTCGAATATTCTTTTTAAAGCAAAGTACAAAACTTGGCCTTCTAATCTATTCTACTAAATACAACACAAAATGTATTAGGACCAAATATGATGTGTTCTGTGAGAGATGACAGCTCATTTGACAAGAAAAAATGAAGTAAGACAAAGCTATATTTTTAAATCTGTGAGCAATGTTCGTTGACATTTCGTTTTTTAAGATATGCATATACGATTAAATAATTAAGCAAAAAAGCAACTTTAGTTTGGCGTAGATTTTTTGGGGAAAAAAACTAACGATTTCGAGAGTGATGAGACGTAAGTCTCTCTTCTTCAGGAGACTTTTGTTTCCTCGAAATCGGTAAGTTTTATTCAAAATGTACGTCAAAGTAAGGCTGCTTTCCCCTTAATTTTATAACGGTGTACTCTTTCCCAGTTACTAACCATGTAGAATCCGGTCACGATATCTACAGGGAAGAAAAGCAATTTTTTCATAACGGATTTTGTCTATTTGTTTATTTGAACATGGCAAAGAATGTGCAGACCACCCAGACTCAGAGGAAGGATACCATTTTTCGAAGAGAAACTGACTCGTACATGTTTACACACAGGAAAAACGTTTACGCTACAATTGTTCCAGTTGTTGTTGTTGTTCGCTACAATTTGACTTCCAGTCGAACTACAAGATTCAGCGGTCTTAACCATTTCACTGCAGGTGAAAGTGCATATTCCATTAAAGCACATTCACTTTTTTTTTGGCGCACCTAATGCGAAAACTACCAGCAATGTACATAGTTATCTACTTCATAATGTGGCTATAGGTTCTTGTCACTGATTTAAAATTTTATATTCATGCTATTAGGAATTAAAAGTGGAATACCGGTAATCGCGACCATGTTAGAGTAGAGATAAAATAAATAAAAAGGAGGGAAAAAAAAAAAAAAAAAAAACAGCAAAGCAAATTTAATGACAGTCACCTTCCTTCTTATATGTATATGCAAATAAACGTTTTAACAAAAATTGGTTACGTTCATAAGATATCTTGTTATAAACTGATAGCTCTCGCCGTTAGGTGGCGCTTCGAGCGTCTTGTCTCTGTTGATATTCTATAATTTAATTTTAGTTTGATGGAATAACGACGGCGTTAAGCCTAATAATAATGGAGGCGTATGCCTAATTAATGTTTGTAACCACTGTATTAATTGTAAATAAAATTTTGTGTATTACTAACGGAACGGAATAATCACTAACCTCTGGATTTAATGTTCTCTAAATGGTAATGGAAATAAAGTCCAAACGGCAATTTGCCCTGAAGGACTATTAATTTCGTTTTAGCATTTTGCGTTGAAAACTATAAACGTGGAATCACTTTTCAAATTGTTGCCACCAAATATTATTGCCCTGTATTATATTTAAAGAAATTAAATAATGAAGAATCTGCACGAATGTATGTATTGTAACGTATGCTCATCCGTGATGGATGAAAGAAGAAGACCAGCCGTCTTTTAAATATCTATTTTAAAACTTAATAAAGATTTCTTGATTAATAAAAAGTAAAATACAGTACAGCCATAATAAAAAAACGACCGCTTGTTGCGGCTCTGTCACGCCTCCGGTTTCTCTCAGCATAAAATCTCGCACAAGCCTCTTTCTTTCATTTAATGTCTCAAAAAAAAAAAAAAAAAAAAAAAAAAAAAACGCGCAGGCGGAGCCTTTACGACTTCCTTTTGTTGAGTACCTTTTGGTCATTTAGCGGATATCGAATGATATTTCATGGAGGTTAGAAAGGAAGGAGGGCCACACCGGCATTACAATTGAAGCACATCTCCAAGGCTTCGGTCTCCAGATGGGGTGTCTTTTGTTTACATTCAGAAGCTCCCTTGACAGCGCTTTGATTGTATTTCGACACGCGACAGTTCCATACAAATCGAAAAACGGGACACTTCCGCATAAAAGAAACATTCATAGTGTGATGGATAATAGCAATTTGTATAGTTTAGTGACATTTAGGCAAAAATTATATTTTGGTTATTTTTCGATAACTAACAGTAGCAATTTTGATTACGAATTTGTTTTATAAAATTCTACGCTGTTGAACTACAAAAATATATAGAGAGTTTAGCAAAAATGTTATACTTCAGTTTCATTGAAGTACTGTACATTTAAAATTGTATATGTCTTTTAACAGCCTTGATAGAGTATTCTCTACTTTTATTTTATGTTCCATATGCCAAAATGTTTTAAATAATTTTTTTAAATTCACATATTATTATAACGTGTACTTTTTAAAAGTTTTTAGAGGAGAGGCTTTATAGTTGCTCATTTTAAACTCATCATTTTATATAAAATATAACTGAAAAATAATCACTTTGGGCTTACACGTTTTACTTAGGTTAATTAAAAAATAAAATTACACCCAAATGCTGCAATCTTCCTCAAAACTAATAAATATATACATAGATATGTGAATGAGTTAACTTTTACTTGATTTGTAACCACACATTTGTGTAAAATTATGTACAGTTTTACACAAATGTGTGGAACAGAAGACGGATACATTTGCGAATTCGGCGAATGAAGCAATATTATGCAGAGTAATGCAATCAAGATTCGATCTGATGACAATGCGGTTAATGTTTAAATGTTAAATGGATACTTATTATATTACCAGAGAACTATTGAACTGCATAAAATCGCTAAGAGAGGTATTGAGTGCTATACCAAAATATATTTGCTAGAAGATTTGAATTTGATAATTTATGTATTTTAACACATTTTTTAAGTCAAAAGTTTGAAACTTGAATGCTAAATGTAAGTATAAAATTATGCATGCTAAAATATCTGTAATTAGGCACATAAGTCAGGTTAAGTTTTTATTAAATAGAGTAAGGCATGCAAAGGCTATCTGCCTAAAGGGAGAGATGCATCGTGGAGAAATTTCAAAGAAAAACTGACCTTTGAGTGGGTATTATAATAATGCATGTAATTTTAATTAATATTATATTTATGTAAAAATTTCGGGTGTATGCTAAATTATTGTAAATTAGTTTACTCGAAAAATATAGTGAATGCACAGAAATTAAAGATTTGCACATGCCTAAAATGAAAAATATGAAATATGTATGGATATTTATGCATATGCTTGCAAAAAGCATGTATCTGCCCTTTATGTAAATATTTATTAAATTATTTATAAATATATTTGAAATGAAGAATTTATTCAATCATAAACTCCTGTGAAAATTACTGTAAAGAAATCTAGTTGTTAAATGTATCTAAATTTATAATGATTTTATGAGATGCGTACTTAAAGAAGTAATGAAGAAGAGTTTTAGAATATATTATTGAAATTAAGGGTAAAAAAATCTGATAAGTATAATTAAAAGAGTCATTCCCTTATATTTTATAATAACTCAGTTACAAGTTTTAAAAAATATCTTAAAAAAATTTTTTTTATTCCCTTTCAGAAATATTCAGAGAAAGTTAAGTATTATTCACTATTAAAACAAAAGGTGCTCTAATCTGAAATGGTCCCACAGAGCATTAATTATAAGTTGACTTCGATTTTTCCATTTAAAAGATGCCTCAGTAGCTATAAAAATCATGTCATATTTCAGAAAGTACTTTAGGAAGAAGCTCTATAAATAGAAAAGAAATAATGCATAATTTTAATATTAATAATACAATAAACTTTGATCTTAATTTTCGTAATCCTTAACCGAATAAAATCGAATCATCTTCAAATTTTTTCTAATGTAATTAACGAAAATTTATGAAAATATTTCATTCATATTAAACCGTTCCGACCAAACTGTTCTGTGAAAAGTATAGTATTTAATTCCATTCAGAATGAAATGTTGTTTAAAAACTTTTCATATACTTATGACTCTGAAATATTGCAAAAAAAAGAATATATATACATTTATATGTATATTTACAATGTAATAATAAAATATTTATATTCGATCATGTCAAAAAGCC